ATTATTATTATTATTATTATTATTATTATTATTATTATTATTATTATCATTATTATTATTATTATTATTATTTTTTTTTTTTATTGTTTTATTATCCATCTGCTTGGGGGATTGATACTTAATCGTACACAGTTATGCCACGACTTATACTGAAAAGCACATATATTAAACTTGTGAAAGGTTTGTGCATATAGAGGTAATTTCTTGTCAACTTAAACAAGGGGGAAAAATATTCAGTTCTGTGTTTTTTGTGTGACAAATGTTTGAAAATTCACATAATTTTTCATTTTAAAATTAAGTTTGGAAAACTGAACAAAGCGTTTCAGTGAATGTGCTCAATAATAATTCAACCAAGTCTTACATAAGATTCCCTGCGTGAAATCTGCTTGCACAACTGGAAATGCTCTGGCGTCTAAGTCGTAATGAGAAACGAACACTGCAGAACGTGATTTCTTTACAGCACATTAAAAGATGCCAGATGAGGCTCCACAGTCACTCGTAATGATGACTCCCACTGTTACAGCACTGAACAAATGAAATGTTGTGTTTGCACTTAGCATCTGATGCAGACTTTTGTGTTTTGTGTTTTGTGTTTGAATGCTGGAAAACAACTATATCAGATATGAGATAAGTATGTGACGAGATGTTTGAAAGGTTATTATCTATACTGATACTATACAGATCCTATATGTTCTGTTTTGAACTCAGCTTACCCAGACAAATTTAATATCCACAGGAAATGGCTGCTCTACCCTGGACTTGGCCGGAGAAGGTTGTCATGACATCAACTGGTTACAGTTTCCCCCCCACCTCGCCCGAAATAGTTTCTATGTGTAAGCTCGTAATTGAGTCTCAGAGGAATTCAGGAGGTCCGCTAATCGATCAATTCTGCTGAGTTATGGAAAGGATGACAGGGTCTACAGGGCTCTGAAGAAAGACAGAACGAGTAACAGAGAGCTGAAACAATAGCACATAAAACAGGTTTATGAAACACATTTGTGCGGAAGAAGGATGAAAACGTCAGAGAAAGGCGAGATGTGAACTCCGAGGCTAGGAAGAAATGTGTCAAAAATAGGCTTTGGGAAAATAAAGGAAATAAATATACTGACATATGGACTGACCAAACACAGGGAATAAAAGATGGAATAAAACATATATACGTCCACGAGTCAGGAGGAGATATTTGATGCAGAACACAGATGCTGTGGTGAATAACTAATGCGGGCAGCACCGGTCAGCAGTGAAAGGATGTCCCTCTCCGTCTCTGTATGAGTAAGACATCAAGCCTGAATGCTGAGAAGCAGACCGCCATGATTTTTTCTTTTTTTTTAGCTCGTGAAACAGAGGCAGAGAGAGTGGAAAAAGGGGTTAAAGGTGGATTAGTAGGATGTGAAAGGGCAGTGGGACTGGGGGAAGGAACCAAGAAAACAAGCTGAACTGACCGCATTGAGAAAAGATCTGCTAAGAACTGTTGATCTGTAGGTCAAACAAACATAATATTAACCATTTAAGGTCTGGACATTGGTAAGAACTTCACTACTTAATATTATTCTTGTTCTAGAACAGCTCCTAGTGAGAAATGAAATATTGAAAAAAATCAGAGCTATATAGGATCATTATAAAATAAAATAATAATTTACCCTCATCAGCCAACTAGAAGGGGATTTGGCTAACACCAGAAGAAAAAGAATTGTTTAACTATTGTCATACCAAAACTGTAGGTTTTGGGAAATACCAGCCTAATAATGTCATAAAAGTGACAAAACAGAAGTGTTCTATATCATTAAAAAAATACAAAAAAGATAATTTATGTCTTAAGTATTAATAATCCAGACTGATACGAGAATATAAGTTGCACATTTACCACGATAAACGCTTTTACAATATAAAGTTTTAGAGAAGAAATATTGTGATACA